AGAACGTCTGAGAAAACAGCAGGATCTGCACCTCTGTAGACCGTTCCCAGCACTCACTAGGATCACTTGCTGAAGGGGGCTTCTGCCAACATTTGAGGTTGGACATTTTCAGTGTTATCTACTCCCCTATTTCTTTACACAGTGGAATGAGGCTTTAAGCAGATCTCTCTGAGATGTCTTTCTTGACATTACAGAAAATAAAATCTCAAAGCCTCAACACAGTCAACCCCCACTTAAGTAACTTCCTCTTGGGTTAAAAGGAAGCAAAGAAAACATCAAGTCCGGGCCATGGCAAAAAGCACAGCAAGCAGAAGCCCTTATAGAGGGGCCAATAAAGGATAAAGTGAATGTGGAATTAGCTGGTCATGACTTCAAACAACTGTCTATTTATCAATCACACAGGCCCATATTAGTAAGAAAAAAACATGAAAAGATTAAAAATAAATTCCAGAAAATAAACAGTTCCATACAAGAAAAACCACAAGTGGAAGTTTTAAAGGAAATCAAAGCTTGATTTCAATAAGCCGTGCTCTGTGGGAAATAAACACTGAAGCATCTACATGAGTCTATTTTTGTCTGGTTATTACAGGGTTAGCACCTCTGCAATTGGCTCTCAGTGTTCCTTTACATTCCACTGCAGACACCAAAAGAAATACCTTAAAGATTCCATCTGAGGCTCACAAACAAGTCTGACAACCTATTATTGTAAAAACAGCATTTCAAATACTAATCTTCAGAATAGGTTGGGTTTGCACAGACATAAAAATTCTAACAACCAACTGAGGAGCATAGCATTTCACAGAATCTACAGCTGGATTTCTGTGGAAACTGAAACATGGCCACAAGATTTCAGTGTGAGCAAGAAATGGAGTGAGGAAGAAATATTCTCTGTTGAGGTTGGCAAGTAGGTGCAGCCACAAGGTTAAATTTCTGCAGAGAAAGGAAAATAAATGGGATTTATTTTTCTGAACTCCTAAAGCAGCAAATGTTAGAACTGTATTTTATACCACCTTGTGTGATAATTTGCTTAGTACATGTGTGTCAGCCTTTATCTTTTGCAGGAAAATATTAAGTCCTTAGGGCTGGATCTAAGTCTGACGGAACTGGCCTTTGCAATTTGAGTGGTTCTCCTGCAGGAAAGGAATACCAAATGAAGAAGGTAGACTCATGCAGAGATTACTGCTGAGTGAGGAGCACCAGAATTTAAGCCCCATCAGCTCACAGTAATCCATCTCGGAGCGACCTCAGGGCAGAAACTAAATTGTTTCTGAGTTCCATCTATGTGATGCCTTGCAGGGCACTTGCTTCGAGTTACATTACACAGGTATTTAGCTCTTAATCCCCTCATTTCAGAAACAAGCACTGGATTGAACTCCTGAGATCACACTCAAAGCCAGCCTTAAGCCTACTCACATGCTACAGACTAAATCTTAATTCTTCATTCAGCTATACTTCAGATGATAGTTTGAATTCAGTGCAATCTGAATTCATATTGGATCTAGTATTTAATCATTGTTATCCAGTTATTGTTTTTTTTAAAAAATCCTAATTTGTCTATCAATAGAACAAAGAAAAGATGTAAAAAAAATTCACTAAATAAAAGTCATAGACTAAACATTCTAATTCTGGTGCGTGTGTGTCCAGTCTTTAGGATAGACAGCTGGAGCTTACGTGCACGCCTTCACCCACTGTGGACATCTGTGGGCTATTATCAGTGAGGTTACCTCCTATGGAGAAGAGGTCACTGATTTCAAAGTGAACTTGTGAGAGATTTTTATTTCCTCATACTGCCTACCACCAGTTACCAGGCTCTATCTTTTCAGAGCTATGAAGTATTGAGAAGAGAAAATTCACATAACTCTCCAATTTCTACTTACACATATGAACTATTACATAAGAATGATTTAAAAAAGACTCAAACTCACATGTTATTCCAGGCTTAATATTTTGTCATGTACAGTCCTGCAGAAAATGGAAGATCCTTATGCTGTAGCACAGGATGCCATGATGTGATCAGTGTACCACAAAGCATATATGCTTCATGAGTGTCCTTGAATGTAAACATATTAGTGAACACTGACTCAATAACTTCCCTGAGTATGCACCCACAAATACACTGACCCAGTGTTTAGGATCTTGTGCCCCACAAATGTCCCTGTGTCAAAAGCCAGATTCCCAGGAAGGCGGAGGAGCCTTCACGTGGCTGTACCTACTTGGCAGTCTTTAGTCCCCTTCAAGAGGAGATGGTGAAACCTCAACTCTCCTTCTCTTTACTGTATCCAAAGGTGAGCAGCTGTGCTCTCTGGTACATTCCCACCATGATACACTGACTTTTGGCAGGACAAAACGACAACAGAGCCAAGTGACCACAGCCTTGAAACCTCCAAAGCCCCAAATAAAGCTTTTCCTTTCATATGCTGATTGTGTGAGGTCTGTGTCATGGTCATAGAAAGCTAACAGATACTCTGAGGGCAAATCCAATCTTGTCAATAGCCTTAACCTGGAATAAAAAGTTGTTTATTCAAAGCCTTTCTGAAGACAGACAAATATTACATAAAATAGTTATATACCAATACTTAATGAACAGACTTTAAAATCAAAGAAGAAATTAGGAAAAATATTCCCAACACAATTACAGGCAATAAATCTATTTTCCTTAATACACAATTACATTAAAATAGTTCAAAGGAAAAGACTATAGGATAGGAAAAGAGTTCAGACACAACAAATGGTGAGTAACTGTCTTTTGAAATACCAAACTCTACTCCTAAACATGAGAAGCATGAGTCCCAGACCCAGTTTTCAATGGCCAGATCACAGTGAAGGCAGCTCAGGGGAAGAGATAGACATCACAGCTGGGGAGTGTTCCCTGTGGTGGAGGCCAGTCTGCAGGCTTCCAGATCTCTGCCTCGGCCTCCTGGA